TTTCCCACATGTGAAAGGGATTTCATACACCACTCCGCTGTTGCAGTTGACATACCGGTGCTTGTGGTTTATGTCGCATTCATGATGTTGTTGCTTACATTGCTGATTTTTAGGCACATTCGTTTCAATTTATCCGGTGCCGATATTACGACTTGGACATCAAACGTAAATGCTATCTTCTTCATGTTGTGGGAAATCTTGTGGATGTAAGGCACCACAGCCGGACGGTGTCTCTTCTTTTTGATTTTTTCTCTTCTTTTGTTCTTTGTCAATAACTTTTCGGCGATGTCAGTCAAAACTGGAAAGGGGTAACCCAAAGCTTTCAAAAGAGTCACTAGGCAGTCAGAAATAAAACTGAATGATTTTATAGAAATCTCTTGGGTGGTGGCTTCTTGTTTGCTAAAGTAAATAACAACGGGGTGTACTGATGCCTTAGTATTCATCCAGTGATAGGATTGCGGGGCGTCCTGCACGATGAAACTATAATTTTCAGCGAAGTCCATGAGTACTATTGCCTCGTGTTTGCTATGTTTGCTTTGCGCTCCCGCAAGTATCGTGCCTGTTGTTTGCTCACAAAGTGGTGAGCCTTCAGTGCCTTCAGCATATTTAAGAATTTTTCGCGGAACTCGTCTGGTGTCAAAACAATGGTTTCCAGTTGGCAACGCACCCCGCTAACCCACTGTTGCACATGGACGTAATCCGTTTCTTCCGGGTCAAGAAGTGGAGTGCTGCGGAGCAAAGTATCAGCAAAATCGGTACTTGAGCATTTGGCACACCTGTCAAACATGCACTCTTCACTGTGTAGATCACATACTGTAGTGGACAGAAGTTCTTCGGTGCTTTCGTCTAATCCTGTAGCATGAAGCCTGAGCTTAATATTTTGGTGTTGCATGCACACGCAAACTGTGTGAGTGCCGCTCCCGCTTGCTAGGACACAATGTTGAAAAGCCGCACCTGAAATCGCAGCTTTTTTTCCATTCCTCGTGCGTTTCATTCAAGTTGAGCAACAACAGACGCTTTTGGCGACCACGTCGCACGTCCTTTTTTCCCGGTAGGCAGTACGAGACAGCGTCGTCCTGATGATGAAGGCCTTAACTTCTTCGCTGACCGGGCGGCCTCTTCTTTTTGGCACGGTGCCCAATATTCCTGATTCTGACCTGACCTTTACGGCTTGACGCGCTTGTCGTTCCGAGGCTCCAAAGACCAAGAGGGTGGGGCCAATGTTAGAAGTTGTAATTTTTTCTGTCTATTTTTCTCCAGGTGAAACCTGTTTTTTACATCTTGCATGAGTGACACGTAGTCACTCAAAACAGAATCTTTATCCTGGTTCGGCTGAGAAGTTCGTTTCTGCTGTACACCCAAAGATGTATAAATTCTTCTTTCGGCAGAGATTTTAGGTTGTCTAACCTTCTTTTGAGCGTATGTCTCGCGGCTTGTTCGCCCTCGTTTTCGTTGGAGAGGGCTCTCTCCAACGGCTGCGAGGGCCTCGTTGACGCTCTCAAGTGCTACCTCGGGGTCACCATGCTCAGAAGGGGCATCACTATCCAGAGGTGGTGCTGGTGCTTGAAAAGTAGGTCTCTTCTTCAATTCGAAACAATTTCGCCGGCATGCTTGACAAAGTCGGTTTCCAGGAATAAGGTTTAAATTGGGGTGCGCATCTGCCAAGGCTATTGTAATTACAGCTGATCCACGGCGGTTTTTGACGTGTTCATAGAAAGGGTCTAACCCTTTCTATGAACTTGGATGCAATCAGTGATGTGTACTTTTTAAGGTATACTTGATAATGATGTGAACACACTGTACGGATGTCACCTTGTGGGCGCCCGGAACGGAGCGAAAGGAGCCGCCGATTCGCGTGCGTGAGGTCTTGAGCGTTGATGAGGGACCGCGTCTTGGTCTGTGTGGTCACATGGCACCCCATTGCACCCAGGGAGCACGGAGGAAGTTTGGCTTCTGCAATGAAAAAGAAATTTAAATGCAACATGACTGCTCCTTCATCCACGTGAGCCATATCTGCGTGCTGCACATAAATGACATGTCGGGCACATATGCACCTTACGTGCAGAAGCTAGCCTTGTACGCAAAACGCCATTCGGCTTTGAACTTTTATAACGCTAATTGGTTTGTAACAGGTATAAGGCGAACCATGTGTATTTAATATAAGCCAACGCATCCTTCCCTAAAGCTTGGGCATATACATGTCTAACGTAACACATACTACATGTACGACAAACGGCCAGCTTAAAAAAAAAAAAATAGCTAGTCCATCTGGTTTGAAAAAGTCATGAATTGAGCGGCCGCAACTATACACCAACTCATGTTTACAAACAACCGGGCGCGCCCTCTCCCTCTTTTTTTCCCTTTCTCTCTTTCTCTGGCGCATGCGCGGTGGCCGGTGGGCAAAAAGCTCGGCGTCCCTGTGTAAACAAGCCCTTGGTATACGCTGTTGTTTTTCTCATTGTGCCGTGTATTTCGCTTGCTATTGCTTTTCCTACGTGCCGATTGCAATGTCGGACTACTACAGCGGCCTCAGCGAAGCGGACAGAGCCCGTTATGACGCGAAGCTGCGTGTAAACGGTGTGGACTACGGCGATCCGTACCGCGTGGACGCCTCGGAATGGACGTTGACGGGTCGGCGGTGGCCCCCCGTTACTATGATAAACATAACAGTGTATCTGCTTTTCACGCCCAGCCGATTTACGCCGGACACATTGCAGGCGTACAAGTCCCTGGAGGCGTACAACTACGTCGAGTCAGGTAAGCAGGGCTGCATTCCATCGCCTACCGAAGCCAGCTGTTTTAGGCCTGAGTTGAGACGATGTTTCAAGCGTAGTACGGACTGAATTTGAATGATTTGCGCCACAGAGCAAATAATGCAAGGTGTTGAGGATTCATGTAGGTCATTCCGAGATCCGTAACGCCGCAACCACGTTTCGTTGGTGCTGTACATACTCACTCTAAGATAGCTAGCTTTTTCCCGTGTCGGTCGTTGATTTCGTCGTTCATATGTCTGTGGTTAAAAACCGCCTTTGTAACACAGCTTCGAGTTTTACGTGCTAATGCTTACCCTGCGTTCCTGTTCATTCCATGTGCGTGTATCACGCCCACGCGTACCTGGAACAATCGTCATTCAGAAGTGGCGTACAGTAAAAAATCCAGTCGGCAAAGACGCCTAGTCGTTACAAAACACGTCTAACTGCTCGTGCAGAATGTCTCGTTCTCAGCAATATAGCCTTGACTGCGTATTGCAGAGCTGTGCTGTGTACTGTCCAGTGACTAACAGAACATGCGATCGCCGGTGTCTCCCGTTTTCTGCCAACAACTGATAGGCTGTCATAGAAGCCACTAGTGGCCGCGGTGTGCTCGTGTGAGGCATCTACCATATTAGAAATTGTTGTTGAACACCAACATGAACAAGTTGTAAACAACATTATTTTCATGTCACATATTTCTTGTTTTGGGCCACATGCATGCACATCTAAATTCAGATGTCACATTCCTTCCACCCACTTGCAATTCTGAGGCTGCTGTTTTGATATTCTTCTCAAACATAGGATGTCGTGGACAAGATGGTCATTGTAAAACCACCGCCATGGTGTCAAAATTAAGAGGGTATTTGGTTGAGAGTGGTCACCGTTGACTGGTGTATTGGTTTTGTATTCTTGCCCAGGCCATGTACGTGACGTCCGGCTGTGGCAGCCTGACAGGCACGAGTTGTGTTTTGTGCGGGCGAATGTCAAGCCATCGCAGAGGGCAACTGGCCCACCCCATGACGCATGGGTATGCCTGGACCATAAGACAGGTCAAGTTTACTGTGGCCACTGCACATGTAAAGCGGGGTAAGTTCGTTCATAGCTGCACCGGCAACACAGCATTTTCCAGAAGCATTATTTGCTCGTTTAGATGAAAGCTGATTAACTATTTACCTCTTTCCTTGCAGTCTGGGTGAGGTCTGCAGTCATGTAGCTGCACTTTTGTTCTGTGTGGAATACACGGCCAGAGTGTCCCAGGAAGACTCGTCTACCTCTCAGCCGTGTGCATGGACCAGGACGGTCGCAAGAAAGGTCTGTTACAGTACTCATGCATATTGTAGATATGAGCTCTTGTCAAATATTTTTAACTATTCTAGATCCTGGTGTCTGGAACCCTATGTGACAGATTGTGTAACTAAATTACAGCTGTCTTGCGTTTCTTTTGGCTACCTGCATAAGTAAAGCCGTGCACGAAAAGGGACTTTTGTATCCGCATTCAACCTGCATTCATGAATCCTGCATTCGCAAACTCTTAAAATGTGTGCTCAATGGCGCTAAAGTTAAAGGCATTTTGCTATGAGAATTATCATGTTGGCCAACCCAACAAAATGTCAGGATTGTAATTATTGTCCTTGGATAACAATCCCAATGCCTAATCCTTTGCCCAGAACAAGCAGTCTTCAGTGTCCGAGGGCATAATTCGGGGAGCTTTTCAGGATTGTGACAAAAATTATGCTTGTGCTTTTTGGTGACGTCACTGGCTGTCTCGCAGCCAAAGGTATCAGTGCAGCGAACAAGCTGTGGAGATCACATTATAGCATGTCCATGTTCAATCTGTTATCTACATATTGCAATGAATCTTTAACTCCATTGCTCAGCTTCATTGTACCTACCGTAGTTGCAGGTTTAGATGGCCACTGTAGTTTTCTCTGCTGTTGTAGTGCCATTGAACCCTTGATCATCAGTGCATATCCATGCATAAATGGTAAATATGAAGGGCTATATTTAATAATTATGACACTAGTTTATTCCTTTTGATCCATGTGCTACGATCAAAAGTTTCTAGATGGAACATAAGTTCAGTAGCAGCGAGGTGTGTAAAATCAATGTGCATTCATACAATTTTTTGCCACGCTTTGACAACTTGAGATGCAGGCCTTTAAAAAAAAAAGGGCGATGTAAATGTGGATGTCTACACCACAGGAGGACATGGTCCCTGTCCACCAGCTGGACCTCAGCAAGCCTGGAATGCCGAGCCGAACCCTTCCCGAAGAACCAAACCATGTGTCCGGGGATTTCCAGCTCGCCGACAAAGCCCTCTTCCAAGAGATTCACCGACTAAACCCTCAAGCAGTCGTCCTGAGGTCCATCCCAAAGATGGACGACGGGGACACCGACTCCGCCTCAGAGGACGAACAGTCCTACACATTTTTGAGGCAAGCTAGTGCTCATTCCTGTTACTAAATTTGGCACATTGATACTTTAACCTGTGGGTTTCTACTTTACCTGCTGACACTGCTAGGTAAATCGCACTCCGTAGCTCGCTATTTAAAACTGCTACGGTCCAGTTCATCCGAAGACTGCTGTAAGGCTCCAATGGAGAGGAGACAGCAGCAACACACTGAATTCGTAAACGATGTGTTTATTGGCACTCGAAAACGACAACACGCTTTGCCCTGTCAGCCAAAAAAAATAAAGGGTTGGTATTGCCTTATTTGACGGAACTGCCTGTGGGGCCCATGCTGCCGTATGAGGCAGATTCGTGGCAGGCGAGATGCTGCAAAAAGAAAGTAAAGTCCCTGCTTAGCCAGAGCCTCCCCCTATGGGAGCTCCCATTCATTGGTCTGAACCGGCTTAAGTAGCCTGCGGGAAATGGATGTGCTTGGGGCGTCTGGTTGTAGGTTAGCCTGGACCTGGGCAGCTCCATAATCATTCCGAAGGGCGCACTGGCGGCATGGTCATCGAGTGGGCGAGACCACCCATCTGTTGTTGGCGGAACATGATCAAAAGAGGTCAAAATAAGGACTTAAAGACGAGGGCTGGTTTTCTTCAGCACCTAATAGTGTGACGTGCCTTACACAAAATGCAGGTTTTTTTGGTGCTTTGGCAGCAAGTTTCTTTAATTCATAACATGGGGCTAAGCTATCAATCAGCCCCGAATTTTTAAAACAAATCAAGGTTATAGCAATGTGTTGTTGGGCAAGAGACTACCAGATTACCAGTGAAGTGCAGTTGTGCTTTCACCAGAAATCTCTTGTCGGAAGGGGGCACATATGACTGCGGGTGCTGTACACCTCGTTACTTCGATGGGCTTCTCTTCAATCTTTCTACGACTAGTAAAAGTCAGTGCGCTATCTCCTTTACTGTCGTGCATCCCCTGGGAAGAACATGTCCAGAACATTTAAGTTGCACGAGCCTTGTTCATTGATGCAGGAATGCTCATTGCTTCTGCAGAAATGCTAGGGGTAGAAACAAAATTGTGAATGTATCGTCTCACGAATGTGACAAACGTCGCCCAGAGCCGTGTATGGGGAGATTTTGGCCAGTCTATGATCTTGCTGCTGGACGCCCCCCTTCCGAGTGAGCCAATCAGCTCGCGGCGCTGAGCGAGAGGCATGAGCACATGTGCGTGAACTCTCAGCTGCTCCCAGCTGAGCGGGGAGGGCTGCCATTTTCACTCATTCGTCCGGCAAAATGCATGGGATCGACATCCAAATTTCGCTTCTTTCCTTTTATTTGGCAGGCTATGGCAAAAAAAAATATTGTTATTCCTCGGTGGCTTAAGAAGCTAACGAATTAAGTTTCTTTGCATTTGAACGGAAACTTTGCTTCCGGCGAAAAAGAAATAAGCCCGTAGCAGACAACGCCTAACCTCAACAGGGCTCGGCGCCGACTGCATTGCGTCAAAATGGCGGTCGTCTCCTCTTTGCTCCCTTCTTTCTCTCTCGTCTTTAGGCGCCCTCCTCCCTTTCCTTCACTTTTCTCCTCTCCGGCGACTTCGTTGCCACACCCACTGGGCTAACTCTCCCAATATACGGCTCTGACGTCGCCTATCTTCATAGTGTTCTAATTTTTGTAAATATTTCATTTTTAAGGAAAGTCAGGAGGACAAGATCAACGAGGATGTCGCTCCCGCAAGACATGTTTGTTCCCATGAGAGAAATTGAGAGGATAGAAAAGAGCACGAGACGGCAGGCGACAACACTTATGTGGCGGGAGGTTCGCTACGGCAGAATAACTGCTTCCATCATCAACAAGGTTTGTGAACTAATGACATTCGCTCAATTTTCGTAAGTGCCAGCATGCCAAGCATGTGCCCTTTACAGGTGCGCACAATGCGAGACACTACATCCCCAAAGGCCATCCTCGACCTCGTTCTACTAAGAACCCCGCCATTGACCACCGAGGCCATCCGCTGGGGTGTCGAGAAGGAGCCCGAAGCCAAGGAGGCATATCAGAAGTTCATGGAGACTTGCCACAGCAACTTCAGGCTCTGCAGTGTTGGGTTCGTGATCGATAAGAAGGTTGTACCCGCTGCCATTATTCTTCTCTTCGTGTTTGAATGTGCAAGGACAGACAAAGCTTGCACAACTTTCTTAATTTATATCTTAATCAGCTGGTGCCAACAACTGAAGCACTCTTCCCTTGTTCCATTTCACAGCCTCACAAGGAGTTGTAACTGTTGTATGTTAAGGCTCGTTCACACAAATGTAACCGAGAACGACCGAGAGACACAGCCGGTTTTTAAGCCTCTTGCGACGTCTTAGGACCAGCTCTGCTGCAGCACATGCGGTCCCAAGACGTCGCAAGAGGCTTAAAAACCGGTCTTGTCTCTCTTCGTCCTACACGGTTACAAGTGCATGAATGAGCCTTGAGGGGCGTCCACACCGGAATTGAAAAACATGCACGACTCCCGACTTTTGTTGTGACAAAACACCGCGTCGCAGGAAAGAGAGACAAAAGCCTGGGCTCACCCTCTTTCAATTGGTTTGGGAGAGGGTTCTCTCAAACCGGACCTTTGCTTATTGCATTTGCTTAGAACCAAACTGATTAAATGCAAAACTTTCCATGTTTTGGTCTTCTGAAAGGAATAATGTGCTTAGATGGGCCAGTTAATACATTGCAAAATGTATAAAGCGCCGTAGAAACATGGACCAAGACGCGAAGAAAACGGCATGGGGCGCACTCCTGAAGTTTATTCGAAAAAGTACACGCTATTACTCCCAACAGGAATGCACAGTCATCAATCAATCCCTGCGCAGCTCACGTTAATCTCAAAAGCCTCGTGTAGTTTGTGTGACACCTTGTTTTTGTATTTTGCCAAAATCTTTCTGCTGTTGGATGACGGGGCGCAAGGGCATCTGCTGCAATGAACAGCGAGATGCCGTGATGGTGTCGTCCTCGTGGAAGCTGCGTGTTCGCGAGCTTGATCATTAACACACATATTTGCACTACATAGCTTAGCCCACACGTCATCGGGATCTTATGCACGCTGCCAGTCGTGCACTCTGTGTACTTGTCCCTATGTCTAGTGTTGCACGGGTCTATGAACGGCTGGGGATTATTGATTCTTTGGCATAATCGCGACATCTTGTTAGGCGCTGAAAACACAGCCGAGACATTGTAACGCTGAGCCTCCTCCTTAAAATTGCGTGTGACGCCGTGCATATATGGAATAACCACCATTTGATGGGGGAATTTATGTGCAGAAGAAGGGAATTAGCATCGGTGCCAGTGTTGCTCCTGTTTTGTGCAATATTTTTTTAGGTGTGCGCAGAAAGGCTATTTCGGAGAAATTGATGAAGAGTGATGGCAGATACAAGGTATCTAACTACGTTGATGATTTCCTCATCCTCGCACCCACAATCGGTCCCTCTAGTTGTGAGGAGGTGCTAAAGGTAATTAAATCATGTTGCCACGGATTGTCTTTCACTCATGAAATACCTAAAGATGGAATAATGCAATTCCTCGACCTCAAGCTGTTTTTTAGGGGAGCACATTTGCTGGACGTATGCACATAGGTCAAAGAAGGGGATTCTTCCTTACGACTCCTGTCATTCAAAGCTCGTGAACAGAGATATTGCCAGCTCGCGTTTAGAAGCGTCGCTTAAGAAGTCCTGTCTACGCAGCGCACAATATAGCTTTGTGAGACGGGTAGGCCGATTGCGGAGGGGGGATTCCCAATGAGCTCATTGGTCGAGGTAGCCAGGAGCCTGATAAGGAAATTTAAGACATCACAGAAACCATCCTGCGACATAACACTTCAACGGCCGGTGGTTATTCTATATATGCACGGCGTCGCACACATTCTTAAGAAGGTGGCTCAGCGTTACAATGTCCTGGTTGTGTTTTCAGCGCGTAACAAGATGTCGTGATTATGCCGAAGAATCAATAATCCCCAGCCAATCATAGACCCGTGCAGCACAAGGCATAGGAATAAGCACAGAGATTGCACGACTGGCGTCTTGCATGAGATTCAGATGACGTGTGGGTTAAGTTATGTAGGGCAAACAGGCCGCTATGTTAATGACGAACACGCAGCTTCCACGAGGACGACACCGTCAGGGCATCTCGCCGTTCATTGCAGCGGATGCCCTTGCGCCCCATCATTCAACAGCACAAAAATTTTGGCAAAATACAAGAACAAGGTGTCACGCGAGCTACACAAGGCTTTTGAGATTAGGGCTAGAGGAAACAAGTGCGTCAGCGAAACGTCTTTGGCCCCATCGACGGATGAGTAGGAGTACTTAAAACGCGAGGTGGGCAGAGAATGATTGATGACTGTGCATTTTCCTAGGGAATAATAGCGTGTACATTTTCCAACGTACTTCAGTTGAGAGTGCGCCCTGTGTCAATGCTTTCTTTGTCTCGGTCCAAGTTTCTTCAGCACTTTATACCCTTTTATGAAAGGAGATTGAAAAAAAAAATTACTGTAAAATCCCTTTTGTGGAATGGGGGCCCAAATAAAGTGCTTGCGCAGTGTTCAAGCCGATCACAATGCTGTACCATCATGCTTGAAAAAATCACATCGGAGAAAAGAACCTCCTGGCTCAGCAGCATTGCATGCGAGCAGGCTCGTGTTACAATTGTGTCAGTATGCCTGCATAAAGGGCATAACATTCAACCCTTATATCGTTTCGTGGCCCCTTTAAGCTTTCAGTTCGTGCCTCTGTGTGAAATTTGAGGGGTTCCGTATATATCATACTAGGGCTGTTATTATCACCATGCTTTTTTTTCTATTTGGCGGTTTTACTAGGATAACTTCCTTGGCGCGTCCCCCGAGGGGATCTGGACGTGCAGCTGCCATGGGGTAGGGACATTAGAAGTCAAGTGCCCGTGGACACTGCGCCATGATGACTCTCAAGCCAAGGACTATGAGTGCCTCACCGCTGACTTGCAACTGAAAGAGTCGCATCAGCATTTCATGCAGGTGCAGACGCAACTGCATGTTTGCCGAAAAGAATCTGCACACTTCTTTGTGTGGACTCCAAATGACTACGAGCTAATAGTCGTACCTATTAACAGGGGACTTTATGCTCCTGTTCTGGAGAAGGCACGATCATTCTGGGTCGATCATGTCGCACCGGAGCTAATGTAATAGGTTGAATAATCTGGTGCTGAAGGGGCACTGAAGTGTTTTTTATAAAAGATTGTTTTTGATATATTGTTGAAAAGGTGTTAGTTATACATACATAAAATTGTAGATTACAAAACAAGATATCCACCTCGGGGCAACAGAAAAACTGCGGACTATTTTTTTCAATTTCTAGACCAATGAAAGTCCTACGATACGTGCAGATTCCGAACGATTTTATTATAACTCGTTTCGAAAAGAGTCGGATAGGTACACATTCAGATAGGACTCCACTTTTTCACCGCGGGCGCAGCCATAGCTTGCAATTTGCTAACAAGCGCCCTTTGCCGACCACTTCACTTGTAAGAAACTCTCACGAAAAAGGCCGTGTCGCAATCTTTTAATATGTTTTTAATAAGTTAATTGGCTATGCACGATGGTAATTTAGGGCTTATTGGGACGCTTAAGAGCATCTAGGTTGAGTTGTCACCACAAAAGGACGATCTCAGAATCGACTTCAGTGCCCCGTTAACAACTTCCCGCAATTTCAGAAACGGATGGCTAAGGAACATTGTAATTCTATTTTTGTTCATCTTCGTTCTATTTCGTGTACATAAATGTTTCAATGACTGTTACTCTGCTAAGTTCCGTGCTTGTTTTGTATGGTTCCTGAAAATGTGACGTTGTGTATCGCTTGTAATTTGCAGATCTGGAGTTCCTTTTTTTATGCTGTGTACATGCATATGATGAGTTTCTTTTCTAAAATCGACTTCTGTGCCCCTTTAACAACTTCCGCAGTTTCAGAAATTGATGGCTAAGGAACATTGTAATTTTATTTTTGTTCATCTTTGTCCTATTTCGTGTACATAAATGTTTCAATGTCTGTTACTCTGCTAAGTTCCGTGCTTGTTTTGTATGGTTCCTGAAAATGTGACGTTGTGTATCGCTTGTAATTTGCAGATCTGGAGTTCCTTTTTTTATGCTGTGTACATGCATGTGATGAGTTTCTTTTCTAAAAGAGCCAGATCCATACAATGTGAAAGTGAAATAAACGTGGATGTTTGCATATCAGATAAACTTCGAGCCCTGTAGTGTGGACAGAATGATAGGCCGAGTGGAATTAAGCAACAGAACCTTTATTTGTGATTACATGACAAGAAATAAAAAGTTCTGTCAGGAAGTACACAGGTGCAACTGCCTTCTCCAAAGAAATACACACAAATTAAACCTGGAACAATTGATAAGCTTGCAGTAATGTAATAACAAATACAGAAAATTGTCAAAATAAACGGACATGCCAACTACTGGTGCAAAAGCTGATGTGTCCCAAGCGATTTCCTGCGGACAGCACCGTGGGATGGTACAACCTCATTCAAGAGAGCCTTGATCTTACTTCTTAGTTCAATGTGCCGGAGGAAACAGGAATTTAAACTGGGGTTCTCAATAAAATTAAATTTATATTAATGCAAAACCACTAACTGTCCCATGGAGCAAACCGACGTCATCAGCTTTGAAGCCGTGCCAACAGCACCTAAATTCCCCTGTCCCAATGGAACAAAGTGAAGTCGCAATCTGATGGATTGCGAGTTCACTTTGAAACTAACGTGCGCCAGCCCATTGGCTGGCGCACGTTAGTTTCAAGGAATGAGGCTCCCATTGGCTCTCACGCGGCATAGTTCCAAACTATGCCACCAGAGAAGCCCTCTCCATAGCGGCGCAGCGAACGCAGCGGCCTAGCCGCCGGTAACAGGTGCGGGCCTGGCCGCACAGCCTGCTCGGGCAAACTTCAAATGGGCTGCACGGCCGAGCTCAGCGTGGCCCAACCACCGCATGAAGCGCGCGTTTGGCCGTCGGCCGCCCCTCGGTAGTAGCCAAATGTGGCCGTCCACGCCACTACACCGGAGACGAACAAACTAAGGGAGCGGAAGAATGACATTCACGCTTTCGCATTCACAACTCGTAAAAAGTGCTTAGGTGTCCTGACTTTTTAAGGCCTACTTAAGTTTTTATGAAGTGCCCAAATTCCATTACTGCAAAGAGAGTGATCGAAGAATTTTTTTAAATTTTGTCCTACACTAATAGTCCACACAAACATTCATAAACGC